TTGTTTTTGTTCACCAAGGCTGCATTTATTTGATCAAAAATACAGTAATATTGTGAAATATTATTGCAATTAAACTGTTTTCTATTTTAATTAGTGCTGTCAAATGATTAATCGCGATTAATCGCATCCAAAATAGACGTTTTTGTTTACATGATATACAGCAGTCAACATTTCAAGTGGATCAAAATAATTAATCAAAGTTGTCTTAAGACAAGAACGCATTTTGGTTTTAGGTTTTAGGACAATTTTAACGAAAGGTTTTGATCCACTTCAAATCTTGACTACTGTATGTATGTGTACTGTGTTTATTTATTATGTATATATAAATACACACACATACTGTATATATTTTGAAAATATGCTTTGAGGTCTCTCCGCTGTGGCAGTACGGGTCAGACTTCCGGTCGCAACACTCTCGCCGATCCCCGAATCCACACCGGAGCGGGACACCTTGAGCGCACCCATGTCCCCGAGCGGGTAAGGAGGGACGTCGAGGAGACAACAGTGAGAACCCCGCAGCTTCTGAAGCAGCATCTGTAGAAGAAGAAACAGGAAGTGAGTGTTTGGTAGTCACGGTTGCGAGCAGTAGATGGCACATGTGAAGAACTGCAGTACCAGAGTGGGCGGCATGTCCTGGAACGGCACTCTGCCACTGACCAGCTCACACGCCACGATTCCCAGACTGTAGATGTCTGATTTCACTCCATAGCCATGAAGATCCTTCATCACAGAAAGAGAGACACAAAAATCTCAATGTTTTTAGAACTGATGTTGGTGTTTACATTGACCAGGCCTTATAAATAAGAATGTACAATATATTAGTAATATATCAGTTATCAGCCAATATTAGCGATTTTTTAAAAATGTATTCTTCTCAGATTATTATTCTTCTTTATTTTAGTATTAAGATATTATTATACATTTTCAATGAACCTTTTTATATACATATATATATACACACACACACATATATATATATATATATATATTCAAATATATATATTAGTGCTGTCAAATGATTAATCGCGATTAATCGCATCCAAAATAGACGTTTTTGTTTACATGATATACAGCAGTCAACATTTCAAGTGGATCAAAATAATTAATCAAAGTTGTCTTAAGACAAGAACGCATTTTGGTTTTAGGTTTTAGGACAATTTTAACGAAAGGTTTTGATCCACTTCAAATCTTGACTACTGTATGTATGTGTACTGTGTTTATTTATTATGTATATATAAATACACA